CCTATTTAAGAAAGAGATCAGATATGGCTCATCATGTTGAATAGTGTCTGTTTCTATCCCAGCTTAGATGATCAGAAAGATACATATCGCAACTGAGTTCACATTTTTAAAATTCCCTGCTTCTTCCTAAGCTATTCATAATGATCCCACAGGTATATAATGCTGTAACTGTTGATTTTTTTCTGTTTTATTTTAACAATTTTAGAAGGATAAAAGCATCAAGACTACGTCAATAATGTTCCATAGTGTAATAAAGCAGCACGTTTATTATTTTGACATGAAACTGCTTCTGCTAATCATTCAGAAAGATGAAGTGAACACCAAGCATGAAATAGAGTCAGGCTGCTTACTTTCAGAAACATACTATTAGAGGGTTTTCCAAAAAAAAACAAAATAACGTTCCTTATATTGACTGGTACCCCAAATAAGCAGATTTAAGAAACGATTGAGGGACTTTATCAAGTAGACTGTGTTATTTTTTGATCTGTCACATTTTTCAATTTTATTCTTAAAGCTCACCAGTCAACCTCATCAATAAAATCTGCTACTTCAGTGATGTGGTAAAAAAAATTGAAAGCATACATCTATTTTCACACTGCTTAATACGGAACTATTTCAAGACTAATAAAAGGGCATAACTGGATCATAACACACAGAGTAAATAATCCCGTATCTCACTGTAAAACAGATTTTGTAATAGTATTCTGCAAAGACTGTGAGTGATGAACTGCTACTTGTTTACATCATGCTGTTTGCAATGAACACAACAAGCTGTGATTATTAGTACTGCTGAAAGGTCAATGACCTGCCTGAAATGTTAGCTGGACATTTAGTGCACTGACAGAATGTGAGGTACTGGGAGCATGGTTGGCATGGAGATAATGTCCAGAGAGCCTTGAAGTATGTTAAGTGTATCTGTCAATAAATTTTTAACCATGCCACCATGATTCTGGATTTCCTGCAACAGGTCTCAATTCAGTTTTAAAAGGGATACTCTAAACATGCAAGCTGAAGCAATGAGTGTTCAGTAGTTGAGCAAATGTTGTAATGGAATGTAGATGGTCAAAGACTGTGTTTCACTTCCCCAATACCTTTCTGGGAGGGCTGCAGCAGGTTGGGAGGACCCGGAACTAGATATCATTCCCAAACATTCCTGTCTTTCTAAGCACTGCCTCACCACACCATCTATCCTGGCACTCACCCTCAAATTTATGTGCTGTCATCCCTTTTCCTCATATCCCCTTCAACAAATGCTCTCTATTCATCAGGGATGTCATTGCAATCTCTAGTGGGTATCTTCTTCCCTTCTTTGCAGGAGAAAAGAACTCCGAAAACCACAAGAGGTAGAGAACTGGAGTTGGCCCTCCAAGCATCTTTCAATTAAGAGCTGGGGTGTAAGTGGCACCGGGGACCAACAAAGTCTTGGTGTAACTGGCTATGAGACATGGGAGATTCAGGGTGCTCCAGCAACCTGGTGACAGAAATAAATGTCAACTTCCCCTGCAGCACACAACACTCAAGTCATGTTGACATGCTTCAGTGTGTGAAATATGCTCATATTCAAAATGATAACTTCAAATAGTCCGGTGTTATCAGTATTCAGTCAAATCTTTTTTCTCCAAAGGTTCTCATATATCCAGCAGTTGGCTTATTGGCACCAAAAACATCACCTCAGAGTAGTTTCATCACCTGAAGACGTACTATCACAGACCTTAGGCAGAACATGCACCAGCTTATACAATCGTACTCCAATGGACAAGTTAGGGATTTCACCTGAAGGCTAGTGTTTTATAAGGCAGCAAGAGCAGATGGTAGAATCAGGGAACAGCAGTAGAGAGATAGCATTGAATGACCCGGGACTCTAGAAGATCCCTTCAAATGGGCATCATCGATGAAGAGGAGAATTATTGAAGCAGCAGAGATTGTGTGATCTACTGTCACAATTTCTGAGCACATTGTGGAATGTGTGCCTCAAAGCTGACTGGCATTTTGTTGCAAGCAACTGCAATGACAGTCTTCTTCTGTAGACCAAGTCTACAACTGCATGGTGAATGAAGTGTGGCTACTGAACCAGTGCAGGTGGAACAGTCTTTATTGGGATTCTTGTGGGTTGAATAACCTCTGGAATGTTGGCAAACAGCATTTCAACCATCATAGCAGAGATGTGAGCATTCTGCCTATACCTCTGCTGAAGCCATATGGGTTCATCTCAACAAAACATTAAGAAAAAGGAGAGTAAATATATGTGCAAAGGTAAAATACTGCAGATGCTGGAAATCTAAAACAAGAGAATGCTGGAGGTCTGGCAGGGTTTGAGGAAAGAGGAACAGAGTTAACATTTCGAATCCAGTATGACTGTTTTTCAGAAACATACTGTTAATGTGCTCCAAATGAAGAAATAACAGAAAGCTTCCTATCCTGATCAGTGCTTTCATCATTTTCTGTCCTTATTTCACATTTTCAATACCTGCAGAATTTTGATTTTGTTCTATTAGTACATCAGGATAAATTTCAACAAATAAAATTGTGCTGATTGCAGTTGGGAGCCAGTGAGGAAGATAAATGGTCTCAGTTGCTTGAACTTATCTTTTGTTGCTTATGAGATCATCTGTACTAATTAATCACACTTTATTATCTTCTATGTGTCCTGCATGTGATGAACAGGGACTTTCAGTTTCAATTGTAACTACTAAAAATGATTATACACTTAATTATCTTAGTACAGAATTCGGATTGTCACTTTACATTGAAACACTGCTGTTGTCTCTGCAGGCTGTGGAGAAAACCCTGGTGTGTTATAGGTCATTTCAAAGGCACTAGAATGAGTAGATTCACTTGCTTGGTGAATCCATTTGAAAACATCTGTAGACTTCTCACATTTAAAAAAGGATGGTTTAATATGCTGATATATGTTAAATGTTAATCCCCAACATTATTGTGTCCAGCATTACTGATAGCTGTCTGAATGTACATACTATAGATGTCTTGTAATTCCACTTATTGAGCTACAAATTATAACTTGCATTAACTTAGCAACTTTCATGAAGAAAAATATATTCGTGCACTGCATAGCTGTGTAATCAAGAAAAACAATGTGAAGTAAAAGAAGGTTAAATTTGAATAGGTCACCCATATTATGGTGAAAAGCTTGTTTTAAGGAGGGTCTTAACTAACGCAAGGTAGGGAAGACGTAGAATAGTTAAGGTAGGGAATTCTGGAGTAAGGGATCTTTTAAGTTGAAGGCAGTAGGAGGGGCAGTGCACCACAGACTATTGTCAGAGCAATGGAAAGTCTTGGGGACGGTTAATGAGACAGAAAAGGCTGAGGTCATGGCAGATTTAAAAACAATGAAAATTTTAAGCTGAGGCAAGATTTAGTTGGACTTAGTGGCAGGATAGGATATGGTCTGTAAAACATTTAATCAGCTGAAATTTACACTGGAGAGAATGAAGGCTGACCTCCAGAGCACTGGAGTAGTCAAAACTGGAGGAGATAAAACTTAAGCTAGGGGTTCCAGCCACAAATGTGTCAAAATAGGGACTGGAGTGAGATTACAGAAACGGATCTAAACCGTTTGTTATTTGGAGGCTAAAATGTCACAAATCCGAGGGTGAACAGGACACAAATATAAGCACAGTCTGGTTAATTATGGAATAGTCGTCAGGAAGGGAGGTGGTTTCTGCAGCGAGAATGGGGAATTTAACTAATGATATCATCTCTGGTCTTCCCAATGCTAATCTGGAGGAAATTTCAGCTCCCAATCAATTTTTCTTCAGTTTTATAAAGTTGAGGTGGTAATATATTTCTATATAGAAATAGTGAGAATGATGCCTTGGGCTTGCTCCTTACCTGGATTTAGAAGAAAATAACTTGTACGTAGGGAGCAAAGGATCACTTATGGGAAAGGAATAGAAAATCAAATCTGATGTAAAAAGGTAGCGCATAAAACTTCAAACTATAAAGTTATCTGTTTATAGAATCATAGTTAATAATTGGCAGAGGGTGTATTTATGAGCGCAAGAGGTGAGAGGTCCCTATAGATAGGAAAGCTTTAGTTGTTAGCTTAACACTTTACTGCAAGTGGAAATCGTGGTTTATTTAAATACAAACCAAAAATGCTGGAAATGCTTAGCAGGTCTAGAACTATCTGTAGGGAGGGAAACGGGGTTAATGTTTCAGCTTTCAGGTTGTTGATCTTTAATCGCCAACCTGAAACATTTGGGGGGAGCGGGGTGTGGTGATGAAAAGTATTTTGTTCAGGCCTCCCAGTGCAAAGATATTAAGGAAACTTCCATATATTTTTGTCATGTATAAAGTCTTGAAGCATAATTTGCTGTAAAGTTAGCAAAAATGTCAGTTAAATGTAGAGACCACACCTTCAGTATTGCATGCAATTTTGGCCCCCTTACTTAAGGAGAAATGTAATTGTATTAAAGACTGCTCAGGGGAGGTTCATTAGATTGATTCCAGAAATGAGGGGCTTGTCTTAAGAGAGATTGAGCAGTTTAGGCCTATGATGTCCTGGAGTTCAAAAGAATGAGAGGAGATCTAATTGAGGTATTTAAGATGCTAAAGGGCTTTGATAAAGTAGATGTAGACGTTTCCTCATGTGGAGCAATCTAGATCAGGAGGACCAGATTTAGGGATAAAAGATAGCAGATTTAAAACAGAAATCAGGAAAAATTACTTCTGTCAAAAGTCGTGAATCTGTACATTTTACTACCCCAGAATGCAGAGGATTCTGGGACATTGAATTAGTTTCAGGAGGCGAGACAGATTTTTAATTAGTGAAAGGATTGAAAGGTTATGGAGAGCAGGCAGGAAAGTGAATTTGAGATCAGCCATGATCGTATCATATGGCAGAGCAAGGTTGTGGGGTCAAATTGCCTACTCCCACTCCTAGTTCTCATGTTTTTAAAATGTAGAAAAAAATGAAGAACAAGCATGGTAAAGCTTCTTCATAGCAATTAGAGAAAATAGTCCAAATCATTTCTATAGACACAATGCTAGATTGCACCTGCCTTAGAACTTGGCCACAGGCACAATGTTGTGATACCCAACACTGAGCCTCCTTTGGTATTGGGGGAACAACATTATGCCTGTTTTTGCTAAAGGTACTAGAAATACTTCTCGAAGTCATTTTGATGGCAGGGATAGAGTGTGGGAATCCCCCATTTGCTTCCTGCAAGATAACATATCTCCTTCCTTAATTTGTTTGTAAAAGGAGCTGCTTTAAATGAAAAAAGTCAAAATTCTGCCCCTCGCTAAATCTGGGCAGAGGGGTCAGTCTAGGCCCCAAGACCAGCCTGATCCAGCAGGTGAGATTTGGTTTTGTGAAGATTAAAGTAGAATACCATTGTCAATCATTCAAACATAACTGTGAATTGGGGTTCACAAACTAGGGGACCAAGACATTCCTTACTCCTTGACGTCAAATACCTTGGAGGGTGGACAGAGGCTCCTTTCCCAGAAGAACATGCATAGTACTCAGCCTTGAGGTGGTCCTACCATATCTGGATCTTACCTGATCATGTGGCCTTGTTGTTAGAAACCTTCTGAAATGACTGGGACCTCCGCTAAAACAAGGGGAAGACATCAGGTTCTACCAAAATGAAAGACCAATTCAAATACCTGTTGTGGATCTGATGGAGGAGGCCATAATTGAAGATGACATTGATGGGATGCAGTCATCGTCCTGGGAATATCCAGCTTGAATGGCACGCAGATAACTGTGACTTCGTGTGCGAAAGCAGCCAGGAAGATCCAAAGCATCCACTGCCTGTGATTCAATCTCTCCGAAAACAGACTCACAAACTGATTCAAACTGTCCATTCACCTCAGCTTCACTGACCTGAAAAACAAAATCAATAATGAAACACAAACTATCACTTGAAAGCGCTTTATTTTCCCTCTTCCTTTGGAAACGCACAAACATGGCTACCTTAGCCATTATTAAATAATTAAATAACTGCCTTGGGTCAATGAAAACCAGGCTGCCCCCTCAGGGCACTACATGGATTTTAATGAATACTTTTGGAGTATATTGTTTTAATTTGAATCAGAACCAAAATTTCTCATGGTTCTGCCACTTTTTATCCCGATCTTAAACTTCAGTAAGTTTGTGGGTCATGTAAGGTAATTTGCCAGATAAATAGTTTTTCATATTTATACTGAATGCAAGTAAGGACTGTGAGTAACAACAATAACAATGTGTTTACATTATCAAGTGCATTTTCCACATTTACATCCTGAGCAACAGTGGACATCTTTGAATCCCTGTAATCAAATATTACTGGGGGGTGCAAAGGTGGCCCCAGTGAAGTTCCGAAATTCTCAGCTAAGTTTGTAAATTTGTTGAATTTCCTACACTGTCAGAAAAGAGAATGGGTGGTATTTCTACTTATTACATGTAATACCTGGCTGTAGTGGGGCCGACTAAAACTGCAACAATTGTGCGGCAGTGATATTGCTCCTTCCACCCAAGTGGCAAACGTTAGAAATGGAAGTCATCCTTTACTTTTCTAATCTCAAGCAGATCAATATCTAGCCCATTCAATCTTTCCTCATAAGACAACTCATTCATTCCAGTTATTCACCTGGCAAATCATCCAAGCTCTTTCAGATGCATTTACATAAAGAGACCAATTCTGCCTACATTACATCAAATATGATCTCACGAATGCGCTATATAACTGAAGCATGATTTCCGTATTGTTTCATTCAATTTCCTTCACAATAAAGTATTATCTTTTTAAACTCATTCATGTTATGTGGGTATCATTGTCCAGGTCATATTTATTATCCAGCTGTAATTTCTCAGGGGGCAGTTAAGTGTCAACTGAAATGCTGTGGGTCTGGAGTCACATATCAGCTAGACCAGGCAAGAATGGCAGTTTCTTTCCCTAAAGGTCATTACTGAATCAAATGGTCTTTTCCTGACAATCATCATTAGATTCCTAAATACAGATATTTATTGAATTCAAATTCCAACATCTGCCATGGTAAGATTCAAATCCAGATCCCCAGAACATTATCTGGATCAATGGATTAATAGTTTTGTGGTAATCACCTCCCTTAATAAATTATAATATTCCATTAGTTTTCTTAATTACTTGCTGTAGCTGCTTACTAACCAGTTGTGATTTATCTGCCAGAACATCCAGATCCATCTGCAGCTCAGAGCACTGGAATCTCTCCCCATTTATACAATATGCTTCTTTATTATTCTTCTGGTCAAAGTGGACAATTTCACATTTTCCCACGTTACACTTCATTTACTAGATATTTGCTCGCACACCTAACCTATCTATAATCCCCTTATTAGTTCCTTGTGTACTCTTCACAATTTAAATTCCCACCTGTCTTTGTGCAAATTGCAAATTTAACAATCATACCTTTGGTCCCTTCAGTACATTCTGTTCACTTCTTTGAATTGCTACTCAGATTTTCACAATTTAGCATTTTCTTTAAATCCTATTCAATGTTCTACATGTTTCTCTAAAAAAATAGATGTACATCTGTTCAGAACAAAGGGAGTAGCTCAGACTTTGTTTTGTTTGTTAATGGTTTTAAATATAATTGAGCCAAACGAGCTTCGTTAAGTTCAATATTATTGCATTTTGCCTAAGTTCCTAATTCAACAGCAAGATGAAAATTTGGAGGTTTTGTCCTGTAAGTCAATTAATGAGAATAAAAGTAATTTCAGTAATTTAAGACAGTCCCACTTAAACTCAGTGGAATTGATTTGATTAGAATTCAATGATGCAGCACAGATCAAAGCCATTTCGCTCTTTGGTAAATCTAACTAATCAATCCTAATTCCCTGCTCTTTCCTTTAGTCCTGTATAGTTTTCTTTCCTTCAAATATTTGTCCAATTAATTTTGAATGTTACCATTGAATCAGCTTGAACCAAGACTTCAGATGATAAATTATGCCTGCCATTTGTTGAATCTTTACCATGTGTTGCTAACCTTTTTATTATTCATTAGATTTCCTACTTCTGTATCATTAACAAACTTTGACATTAAATCCTGTATTCCCAAGGACCAGATCATTAAACATGGATACATAGAAAACAGGAGCATGAGTAGGCCATTGGGCCCTGCTCTGTCATTCAGTATGATCATAGATGATCATCCAAGTCAGTGCTCTGCTCCTACTTTTAACCCCATTTCCTTTAATCCCTTTATCTCTTAGAACTGTACTAAAACATATCAAATTGAACAGCGGGTCTAATAACAATACCTGGGCTTTAAAGATGTATGTTTCCCTCTAGTCCGCTAAACACCATTCACACTTTTCAAAAAGTAGAACACTGCAAATATTGAAAAACTGAAAAAAAAAAACAGTAAAGGGGAAAATATTCAGCAGGTCAGGCAGCATCTGTGGAGATGTTGCTGATCTGAAATTATAATCTGTTTCTGTTTCCAAAGATGCTGCCCGACCTACTGAATATTTTCAGCTTTTACCGTTTTCATTCACACCACTTGTTTTCTGTTATTTAACCATTTGTATCCATGCTGCCACTGTCCTTTCACTGTTGCTAATAAATCTATTATGTAGCACTTTGTCAAACACCTTTTGAAAGTCCATATACAAAACATCAAGCACACTATGCTTACACCTAAATACACTGCGCAATATTAATTAATTACAACTTTACAACTGAAGCCAAACTCAAAAACATAAATGTAGGGTGATGGATTAAATTATTACCAGGATTCAATCCTCCCAAAGTTTACAGTCTTCTATTAATCACTGTGTAGTGGTAAATAAAGACATTTTATTTAACTGAATTCACTGTAATATATTAAATTTTAAAAAAAGTTTCCTTGCTTTTCACTCTTTAAAACACCATTCATGACTTGACTGTCCTTCAAGGTGCTAGCTGCAGTATTTGTTATGGTGATTGTGGTTCACTGAGATTGAAAAGCTTAGTTTGGTATGACTGAAACCAATTTAAGTCACAAAACAGGCCAGACATTTGGTATGATCATGAATGATCATCCAACTCAGTGCTCTGTTCCTGCTTTTAACCTCATTTCCTTTGATCCCTTTATTCCTAAGAACTGTCATTATGAGGTGTCGAAATGATCCTACTATCTACAGTTATCACTAGTACAGGGCATCTAGCTAATACTGAAGTTTCACTTAAAGCTTGCATTGGAAATAACTTGTAATATCAATAGTTCCTCACGTATAGGGGTTCTGTCACAGATTTCCTTCTTGATCAGTACCAATGTGCTCTCAGAAAATGAAATTTGCCTTGACAGTATATGGTCCACTATGTTTCTTGGATTGAGACATTTCCCTTGAGACAGCGCTATATTTCATGGAAAGTTAATAAGACTAATATTTGATTGTCCAACTTTGACAATGTTGCAGATTTCATGAAGATACTGAAAGTGTTTGCCAAAACTCAATTCTAGGCTTCTCATGGTAATTAAGAAATTTCCACTTGGTTTATTCTCCAGTTTAATAGAATGGGCTAAAACCTTTCCAATTATACCAGCTCTCCTGGATGAATGTTAAGATGAATGATCCAGCAGGTAATCAATATTCTTGCTTATGCTTATTGATGACCATTTTCTTCTTGGTGGATAACATAACAATTTCATTTTTACAGTCAAAGAAAAAGGGATTATTTTCAGATTTCACTATTTAGTCAATGAAATGCGTAATCATAGCAAGGTTTTGATTTTTAGAACAAAACAAGACTGTTAGACTTGGGTGAACAAAGTCAGAAGTCACATGACACCAGATTATAGTCCAACAGGTTTATTTGAAATCACAGGCTTTTGAAGCATTGCTCCTTTGTCAGGCGAAGACAAGGAGCAGCACTCTGAAAGCTTAGGATTTCAAATAAACCTGTTGGACTGTAACCTGATGTAATGTGACTTCTGACTTTATAAGAATCAAAGCATGCTTTTCATTAAGCCCAATAGAACCAGCTAATCTGGATAAATTGAAATCACCCTGGCACTTGCTTAGTGACTACAAGCACTTTTAGCAGGATTGGTGCAATGGTACGTCATTACAATTGCTAATTATTGGATCTGCATTCGCAAGTATTTAAATAAAGGATCACTTGTGTACTTTAGAGTAAAAAAAAGCTGTTTCATTTTGCTAATAAAATATAATTTTCAGTACATAATTACACATTGTTGTATAGTTCAAGGTTTTGCCTTCACAGTTTTAATTCTGCCCTGTTTATTAAATTTTGGTTGAGATGGACCAAGGCTGCAAATGGTTTTTGATGATGCCACATCAAAATGCTGACATCAAGAAGACTATTTTTCTGAAGGCTAGGCCTCACCTGACTGACGCAGCTAGCTTGGCTCAGTGTGCTCACAGCTCTCATATAGCTCTGATTTCTCGAGCGAAACTTGGGGGAGTTCTCATTGGCTGCAGGATCTAGACTGTGGTTGATGGTCACTTCAATTGCAGACTGTAGGTGGTTCTGGCTGCAATGAAAAAGAAAGCATGTTTGATCCACAAAGTCAGAGAAGGAAAGAGTGAAAAAGAGATTAGCATTTCTACAACATTTTTCATGACCTCTGCTCATCTCAAAACATCTTACAGCCAATGAAATACTTCTGAAGTGTAGTCATGGTTGTAATACAGAATTGTAATCATGAGATTGGATGAAAATAGTATTAGTAAATGCTGAATTCAGTTCAAAATGGAAAAGTAAAACCTATGCCAGATTTCTTTACTTGACAGGCTTCTGTAGTTTTACAAATAAAAACAACTGGATCCATTTACTTTCTTCATATTGTCACTGACTAAAATGTCATATTGTTGCATTTCTTAACCATCAAAACTGTTTGCTTCCTTTATCCTACTACTTTAAGAAATTGCCAGATGATGCTTGGAAGCATCAACGTCTGTATAAAACTCAAAACATTACCAACAACTCTGACTTCCTTTTTTTGGATATTTGTCATTGATGTAATTGCATTATTTACAAAGTTAGACATAAGAAATGTATTGACAACAGAAGTATATTATACAAAGAATAACCACATTCTGAGTTTGCATAAACAAATAATGCTGGAGCATAACCTTGTTCTGGTGGCTAACAAAGTGTGTGATATCAGAGGAAACTTCTCTAGATTGTTTCAGGAGGGATGTTATCCAAATGAGTATGTAACCATACTTTAAATGCCCATTAAACTGATTAGCCACTAAAAACTCACTGAAATTTGCAATTGTAACTAAATTTTGCAATTCTCAGACTTGTGCTTAAGTCCTCCTTTGGTCTAACCCCTCCCAATCTCCAAGCATTTGGAAATCTCTAGGTTCCTCCAATGCTGTTCACTATGACCCTGAGTTTCTTTGCACTGCCATTGGGGTCATGTTTTTAGTTATCGAGGCACTAAATCCCTCCCTAAATGTCCCTTCCTCTCCACCTATATTTCCTTTTTAAAAAGTACTTCATAAACCTAATTCTTTGACAAAGCTTTTCGTCACTCAGCCGAATATGTAACCCAATGTTAATGATTCTCTGATTCAGCTTCTATGGTGTGCCTTCGAGTCGTTTTATGGTGTGAAAAGCTGATATAATATTAGTGTAATATTTTGCTTCTATTGTTAATATGATAGGTAAACTTAATGCTCAGTTCTAGTGTTCCTGAGGCCACCCTTTTGAAGGATGTCTTCCCTATATGCCAAAACTCACATCGGTTTCATGAGCTCAGACTCTTGATCATACAAATCAGGGCCCTATGATGTAGTTAGGATTCCAACTGCATATTTAAGGGATATATGGACAAAGTGTCAGCCATGCAATCATGTATCTGGCATTGCCCCTCAAAGAACAGCCCCAAAACTTCTTCAAAGTTATATTTAATGAATCCAGAAGGGAACCTGATGTTTGCTACCAGTTGACTTGGTAAATGCCTTATGGCCGTGCAGTTTATTTGTACATGCCTCATTCTTCCTCCCCACCCATCGCCACCCCACTGACAAATTCCATCAAAAGACTATATTGCAAAAGCTCCTTCACATGCCTTTTCTTATTTTACACTTTTGTTTTCTGCTCCACTGCTGTTTTATAAGTGTAGAAAGATAATGGAAGAAATGGTATGCACCATATTTTGCTTTGACTGTTATAGCATTGACTGATACTTATAAAGAGACTGGGATCGAATTGAACTACAAGCTGCAAACAGGCACATCACTCCTAGTTTCTGTCAAATTTTATGTTTTAAGTTGCTTTCAAGCTTCCTCAGAGACACTAGTCACGCAGAGCAATCAGTAATGCCCCAGCAAAGTCAATGCTAACTGTGTTGCTTGCAAAAAGAATATCAGTTTAACACATTCAGAGATAGTAAGATTTGCCGATGTTGGAGTCTGAGATAACACAGTGTCCCGACCTGGAACATCAGCTTTCCTGCTCCTCTGATGCTGCCTGCCCTGCTGTGTTCCTCCAGCTCCACACTGTGTTATCTCAGTTTAACACATTACCTCTGGACAGTCAGTAAAAGCACAGACTATTGTGTATACTGGCAAAAGGGAGGGATTTCCCAGAGTGCCAAGTGTAATTGGTGCGATCCATGTGATCTACATTTATAATCTGTAAGGGTTAGAGTCTACTGATGGCCTAGAGTTTACTAATGGCCTGACTTAAGGCATCAGTCACAATCTTGAGGCACTTCATGCTTTTGCCATTATATGAATAAAAGAGGAGATAAAAGTTGGCTACTAGATAAGAAAGATTGTTGTTGCATCCATACCTATCTTCAAACTGTGGTTTATCTGTGATTTACAGTACTTCTTAGCTGATGTGAAACAGGTTGTCTTCCAAAGCTTGGCCCAATTTATTGAAAATTGCAGATTTGAAATGCCCACTTCTGCAATGAAGCTGGCAAAATCAGTACAGCTGGGTGCAGACTGTGACCCAGACACTTTTACAAGCAACTAAATCCCAGAATTAGGTCCCACCTGTCAATCATCTATCCAGCCTGATGCAATTTGGCTCTGTGTTAAGACAGTAAAATCTGGCCCTCAGTTACAACACTTAAGTATAAATGTCTGCATCCCTTTAAATATTTCCTTTTGGATTGTTTTGTGATGAGACTTCCTGTCCAGTCTGTGCAATTTGGCTGGTCTGGATCTTCGACCTTTATTATCATTAGGTTAAACCAAACACTTCAGAGGGATCAGGTCTCCTCCGTTTGGTGGCCAAAATGCTCCTCACCCTACCTTCTCCTTAGTCCAGTCAATAAAAAAAAGGGCCTCTTGAGAATTTGAAATGCAGGTATTTCATTTCCCATTGCTGGCCTTTCAGTCCTCACATATTTAAAATTGTCCCAGAGAAAGAAAGGACATAAAAAGTGCCAGTGTCTTCTTTGAATCTTTCATTCCTATGCCCTTGAAAACTTTCTTTTCTGAGATCTCCTTCTCCTGTGTTAGCAATTTTGAAGTGTCATCTGTCCTGGAGTTGTTCCCAAGGTCTGGTGTCCCAACATGAATAAAACAAATATCTGTACCGCAATACAGTTTGTAATCTTGTGTGACAAATGTTCTAAAATATAAGAATCATAAACAACGTGCACTGTGTTCAAGACAGTGTTATGTGATCCTCTTCCTCCTGAGGAAAGCTTGAAAGGGAAATGTACGCCCTGTGACCAGATGTTGTTAAATCCATACTGTTCACCTCTATCAACTACTCACTGAAATATATTTACTTTGCTAAGGTTTTGGAGTAGATCTGTAGCTCAGGTTGTGGTTGTTGAGGTTGGTTGCCTCGCCGAGCTGGTTTGTTGTTCCGCAGATGTTTCGTTACTGTGCTTGGTAACATCCTCAGTGCAGCCTCTGATGAAGCGTCGGTGTGTTTTCCCGCCTGGTTTTTAAACTCTGGGGTCCGTTGTGATGGATTGCCTCACTTCCGGGTTTCCTCCATAGTGGAATGTATCTAAGGTATACATTCCACCACGGAGTAAACCCGGAAGTGAGGCAATCCATCGCAACGGACCCCAGTGTTTAAAAATCAGGCAGGAAAACACACCGACGCTTCATCAGAGGCTGCACTGAGGATGTTACCAAGCACGGTAACGAAACGTCTGCGGAACAACAAACCAGCTCGGCGAGCCAACCAACCTCAATATTTACTTTGCACATCCAAATGAGTCACGATATACGTAACTATCTATTAAAATGAATCAGTGATTCTTATAGAATCATAGAATCCCTACAGTGTGGAAACAGGCCATTTGGCCCAACAAGTCCACACTGCCCCTCTGAAGAGCATCCCACCCAGACCCATTCTCCTTCCCCTGATTTCCCATGTCTAACCCACCTAACCTAAACATCCCTGCGCACTATGGACAATTTAGCATGGCCAATCCATCTACCCTGCACATCTTTGGACTGTGGGAGGAAACCAGAGCATGCAGACATGGGGAGAATGCGCAAACTCCACACAGACAGTCGTCCGAGGCTGGAATCGAACCCAGGTCCCTGGCACTGTGAGGCAGTAGTGTTAACCACTGAACCACCGTGCCGCCCCTCCAAAGTGGAGAATGTGGGCATCGATCCCACTACCTTCTTGTGCGATTTTAAACAGTTTTCATCATAATTCATCTGAATATGTGAAATGTATGTGTCGCCCTGTGTCCTAATATGCAATTGAAATAACCCAAAATGTAAGCCTTAGAATTGACAGCTAAATTCTCCGTACGTGTGAATATCATTTTCTGAGAAAGAACAACCGCCCTAATTCTAGTTAAAACCTGCACTGAGTGTTTACCACAGAGATCTCCATATAAATGTAATAGAGTATCAGAAATAGGAGCAAAAGAAGACCGTACAAACTACTAAGCCTGCTCTGCCATTCAATAAGATTGCAGTTGATTTTGGGATTTAACCTCACTCACTTCTGGCCAACTCACCCTTCATGCTCCGAGCTACCAAAAATCTGTTTATCACAGCCTCAAGCATCTTCAGTGATGGTACATGTACAACCTACTGAGGCAGAGAATTCCAAAGGTTCACAATCTTTTGATTGAAGAAAATGATTCTCATCTCAGTTCTAAACGGTCAGTGTCCCTTAACTTAAAACTGTGTCCTCTTGTTTTAGATTTCTTGAGCAGGGAAATGAATGGGCTGAATGTTGTGCCCTCCCCCATTGTGAGTGGTTGGGTGGGTGGTATTTAATCAGAGAGAGGGTGGCAGGTGGGGAATCTGCCAACTACCTGCCACCACCCCACTTAAGTCTGTGATGAAGACTCTGTTGATGGTCATCCCTCCCTGCTGCCGATTGAGTCCCTTAACTGGGCAATTGATGTCCAATCTTGGCCTCATTGTATTATCACTGGCATTAATCTAGCAGCGCGTGTGGTGGTGGGATGATAGTGATGGGATTGAAGAGAATGGAGCTCACCGTGCAGCTTGTTTAACAACTAAACCCTAATATGGTTGCTTGCTGGTTTCCAGGAACGATCCCTCCATCAAAGGCACT